CCCCCCAAACAACAACAACAACAACAAAACTGATAATTTCGAAACACTGTACTGTGGATTGATTGACATAATTCGTAGAAAATAAAAAGGCGTTAATTTTAGAATCCGAATCCCGTGATTGAATAGACGGTGTTTTATGGTACCATCGATAGTAGAATCCCCCAAAGCACGTAGGTCTAAATAAACTTTAGAAAAAACAAAACAAAACAAAACTGAAAGAGACTCCGATGGAAATTAAAATCTTTCCAATTTGACTGAACCAAGCGAATAGAGTACCTCGAAAACACTTAGATTTTAAAACATCTTAAGCTCAAGTTCAAGAACGTCCAAACGTTGATTTGAGCTAGGCGGTCATCCTACGGTGTACAAGCCTGTCACCATGCTATTGGGACATCCTTTGATAGATGGACTGAAAAAGAAGACTGGCGTCAGTGGTGTACGCAGCAGTTAAGTGCTTTGATAAATTGCACACAGGAAACCCGAGTTCGATTCCCGAGTGGGAAGATATAATTATTATCGAGTATCTCGGTCTTTCTGCTACATGTAGGATGTTGTATCCCACTCATCCCGGGTTGGCCCTGAGGGGCAGGGTCGGAAGCCCACCTCCTAAATCTCAATGTGATCTAAATGTGTCAACAGAGGTGTAAAAGTCAAAACATACATTATACAACGTAATTGAAGGATAACGAAGAACCGACACAAACCTGTGTGAAAGTTGCAGCATCGTGCGGCCTCCCCCTCCACCAGCACAAACATGTCTGTCTCCTGGAAGTACGCAACCGTCTCCAAACGTTGGAACAGTTTGATGTCGTACAGACGTGGACTGAACTGTACCGAGGAAATACATGTAATAGACATAATATACTTTAGAATTAGAAACACCCGTGACAGGGGTAAACAATGTAATGCAATATAATAATGAAGTACGCCATTTTCTCCAAACGTTGGAATAGTTTGATGTTGTATATACGTGGATCGAATTGTACCCAGGAAATAATAAACATCTACTTTAGGAATATCCGAGGCAGGTATGTAATGCACTTTTGGAGTCTTAATAAAAAACCCTATTAAAACCAAAATATAACTATTATTGTTTGCTTAGGAATACTTTTTAAAGTTGTTACCGAAAAATATTTTCGTCCCTATTGCGTTGACCAAATATTGTCTAGTCAAAAAGAGATTTAAAACGCACAAACACACACAAATACAGACACTCACACTCACACACACACACACACACACACACACACACACA